AGAGTAAGACAAAAAATAGGAGATAAATAACAGAAGTTTCCTTGCATAACAGAAAGAGGGAAGAAAATTATCAAGTGTCCAGCAGAAAATATTTCCAGAAATGAAAAAAATATAAATTGAAATGATCAAGAAAAATTGAAGAGACACATACAAGGTTTATCAAGACATTTCAGAATACCAATAATGAAAGGCTATCCAAAAAACAATTAGAAAGAAAAAGCAAATCACCTATCACCTATCAGGAGAAAGAGAAAATAATGGCTTTCTCAAAATCAGGTTACAAGCTGGAAATCAACAGAGCAATAATTTTAAAATTCTGGATGAAAATTATTTGCAACCTCAAATCTATTCAAATTATTGGTAAATGATATTTTAGAGCCCATATTGGCAGAACAAGTTTTCTAGCCATTCTTTCTTAGAAAGCTACTAAAAAATGTGCTAACAAAACAAGAGTGTTAACTGAGGATGATCCTGCAATCCAGAAAACAGGACTGCAACAGGGAAGCAGAAAATACAGTTTCCTATGTGAGTGACAAAAAGGAGGGCCCTGGGCTGTGTGTGTGGAGGTGAGACAGTTCCTTTGAAAATATGGGAAATACTGATGAATGAATGTAATTATGAAAACGGGGGACAAGTAACAATAGGTACATACCCCCCAAAAAAAGGTAAATTTAAAAGGCAAATACTTATTTTAAGAAAATGGAGCATATTACATCATCTGACCAGCTAGGAATAATATTTACACAGTCCAAATATCAATCCTAGACATTAAGTTAACCAAAAATTGTATTATTCATGGCAAGCAAAGAATAATACCTCAGTTAATAAATAATATTTAAAATTGCAAAATCTAGATATAGCAATGAATACTATTTAGAAATACCAATGTCAATAATTTGTAGGAAGATGAAACTGAGGGTTGAAAGGTATTTTTTATAAGTACTACTGATTTCTGAAACTTTATTTCTTCTGTTACAACTTTTGATAAAATACTTTCTTATTAAAACAGTCTGGCCAGTATGTGAAAAGTAGACATAAAGAAAAGATGGGTTGAAATAAAGACTAGTTAGGAAACAAAGGCAAACTGAAGGTAGCGGTAGTGGTGGCAACCATGGTTGACAGCAGTGCAGTGATCACAGAAAACTTTTTTTAGGTGACAAAATAGAAGATTTGTACAAGGGAGAGGAGGTAGGGGAAGAAGCAGGTGTTAGAAATTAAGAGTTGTTTTAGATATATTAAATTTGAGACACTTACTAGAGCTCCAAGTTGACCTATCAATAAGTTTGATACTTGAGAGCTGGAGATAAAAATTTTCCAGTGGCCAGACACAGGACACATGCTTATAATCCCAGCACTTGGGAAGCTGAGGCAGGCAGACCACTGCAAATTCAAACCCAGTCTGGGCTACATAGTGAGTTCAAGGCCAGCTTGAACCACATAGCAAGACCCTGTCTCAAAAAACAAAAACAAAAGGTTAAAAAAAAACTTTAGAAGTCATTAGCTACAGTTGATATTTAAAACCTCTAAAACTGGGTAAAATATGATAGGGAGAGTCAGGAGTGGTGACACACCTATAATCCTGGCACTCTGGCCAGCCTGAACTACACACGAGAGACCG